TTCGTCGCACGATCCTGGACCAAACAATTGTTGGATATAATAGTAAAGTAAGGGTGGAGTGGAGGGGTGGAAAATTCTAGACTGCTGGAAATTCTGCTTCGGTGACAAGCACTGTCCAATTCCTTTCGTGTCTTATGCAAATCAGCAAGTGACGTTTTATGTACCAGAAAATGCTTGCCTAGTTTGACAAAATCTTTGATCATTTTGGGGGCAGCGTTATCACATTGGTGTATACAAAACATATTTATATATAAAGGCAGTACATTCTCTGGCGACCTTTGTGGCTCTAATGATGTTATGTATCAGAATCCTCAAATTAATGGGCTCTCAAGTCATCACTGAAGTCAGTGGGTATAAGGAGATTGAATTTTGTATGGTAGAGGGTGTTGTAAGTTTACAAAAAGAGGGAAGAGAGGGAGTTAGGCTGCAATGCAGTGATCACATTTATAAACTTACCCTTCAATCTCCATATGATTCTCTGCTCCAGTCTCCCAAAGGCTTCGGCCAACATGTCTACCTGGTGTTTCTTCAATACTACGTCCCCGAGTGTTCCTAATGCAAACAGGATTATGCCTTTATCTCCTGCTCCGTCGATAAACTGCTCCAGGTCCTTAGGAAGTGGATTTGTGGGTTTGATTGTCAATGGTCCCACTAATTTTGTGGCTGTGATTCAAAACAGAAACGTTGTAGTGTGAATGTGACGGTAATGTTCAATACCTTTGTGCGGCTTGTTAGGTCTCTGGGAATTCTGATATACCTTGTGCGACAGGTCAGCAGAAAAGATCTGGGGGAAAAAAATCGTTAAATATGTTTGTTCACGGAATATAGCTTTGAGGGTCTTAAAAGCAAATAGTCAAAGGATAGATTCCTTACATGAAATTACTCTCCACCGGATTGAGATTGAGTAGACTGCGAGACATTATCCGTCTAGAAAAAAGGATAGGGATTGCTTACGGCCGCGTTTTAGAGGGTACGACCGGTGTCGAAGCCTTCGTCACTCAGTTTAAACAGAGTTGGGGGCTCGGGTGTGTTTTTGACGGTTTGTCATGCGGTCAGTTATTCATTGGCTCTTACCTGGCAAAATTGGCTGAGGATATTCCAGAGCAAAGTGACCCATGATGATGGTCATCTCCGCCATATTAATTGCTTCCTGGAAAGATCTTTCGCCTCCTTCGCCGAATTCTACCGTGAGTCCGTCGTAGCGCGCGTAATAGCTCCAAGATGAGGCTGAAATCAGTGTGTGATAAAACAAGTTTTCAACCCGCTCGAAAAAGTTCATTTGATTACTGTTAGATGAAAATATCCACGGGATATAAGAAACCACACTTAGAGCTAGATTAAATCTCATCCCAAAACCTGCAGGTTTGATGTCAATCCTCGGCAGTCGAAGGATTTCAGAGACGACAGCGCCGCATTCTGGAGGTGAATCACAAAACATCAAGTCAAACTTCTTTAGTTCATCCTTGTGCTGTTGAACGTGACTCAGCAGAGCTCTACATGAAATGAAAAAGTAGTCCATCCACTTTTCGTTGTCTTCTGCACCCTCGAAAAAAGATAGATTATGCGATTTCGGAACAAAAGTGTTTACCAAGTGATCCTTGCCGAAAGGAAATTTATAAGTAGAATGCCTAAACGAGGGTGATGGAGTAAACGGCAGGACAGATGGAACAACTATAGAGACCTGGCAATAGAAAACAAAAAAAGGTAAATGTTAAGGTGAAAAACATTATTTGAATAATAATAATAATAATAATAATAATAATAATAATAATAACATTTTTTGTCATTGAAAAACGTCAGATCAAGCAGACGCGAGTCTTTACAATCAAATCCTGAATGAAAGCAAGATGAATACATGCAATTTATAATCTACAGTCTTATGTATACCAATAAGATGAACATATTTTGAAGTCAGTCTTGGTTGAATATCCATATTGGTAGGCTTGTTTACAGAACGAGTTATCAATTCGATTCAGGTACTTCTGGCAAGCAGGTCCTCAGACCTATAGGCCGTACGCGAATAAGGATACGATGAGCGAGTCAAACAACTTTTTGAGTTGAGATTAGGGAGTCATGCAAGGGTGGCTTTGTGCGTCAGTGCATATGTAAGCTTGCGTTAGCTTACTCTACTCCATTGTTTATGACATAAGCGAGGGTTGATGAGTGTTGCAGGCAAATGAAGTGTCTGAAAATCTGGCGACAGGTCACGAAATCGAGCCGATATCGGCGGAATCCTCGTGAGAATATCGGTGACATGTTCCGACTCTCGCGATCCTCTCTCCCTGAGCTTGGTTAATATGAGATATATTGCACGACTAAGTAGCTGTAAAATCGAAAGGTTGTTACCCGGTTCAACATTCACGCACGACTGACTACGGTCATCTCTTTCCCTCTGGAGCTGCATGCTTACAGCACTCGGTTATGTCAATGAGATTCTCTAGGCTTACTTTATCACGAAACACACGACCTGTAGTGCACCAATCTATCAAATGCTTTTCTATTAAAATTTATGAGGGAATAGTAAGTTATGAGCATTCTTAGCCTGAGCAGCATACAAACTAACCGTACTCGACTGTTACGTAACATTTTCCCAACATGTATCTTACATGTTAAATATGTTTGAAGTTCTCTACGTTTCTCAAGCCTATCAATTCAAATCTTCAGTATTACGGGCACATAAACTGTGGATTACAAACCTCATGACCCCGCGATGCCAATTCATCGGCCACATTCCTAATGTTTAAGTAGTGACTCTTGAATTCTGATACCAGCACACCGAGTATTTTCGCTCCATTGGACGGATAACAAAAAGTAAAGAGCAAGATAACAACGAACAACATGATAGATAATCGTAAATACGTAAAGTACCAGTTTTTTTAGTGAGCCTTGTTAGTTTGTTGAAACAGAATTGCAACCAGTGAATCGGTTGCAGAGCTCAAGCCTCAATTGTTATGTTGAGGTCACACAACGACTCTGCTATTGCATCACGGGTACTTTAATTGGCCTGTAATAAAAGGGCGAAACAGTAGAGCGGTTTTGCGAAAATGCAGTTTTGTTGCATTCTCATACTAGGGCTACTTTTCGTTCCCATTGGATGAAAAGCAGTGTATTTTTTCACTCTTTGTGTGCTCTTACTTCTATTTAGGATCTCCAAATCTCCTTGCATGAAGTGAGATCGCCTTATGATTAAAAGTACATATTTTAATGTACACCTCTGTGCAGCGAAACTCAAATAATCAATGTAATCAAAGACGTTTTTTCGCTGAACAGTCAGCTTATCTTAATTGTCAAGTTTGACGCGCGCCGTTTACGTTCAATGTTGCGCGCGTGCTGCATTTGAATTTATATATCGCAATGGTGCTTATCGCGTCACGCGTTTAACTAAAGCTGCGTAGTTCCGAGAGTTGCCAGTTGTTCGGAAACAACCAAGCTAACCAGTTTTCAGTTATGTCTGCTAGCCAGTTATTTGGTAAGGTTTTTACCCGAACGTTTGCCAAAATGTACGTCAATTACGCGCGGGGTTCTCCCATGTATGGGCTATATAGGTATATGCGGCCCCAAAGGGTGTGGTTTTTCAGCCGTTTTGGTCATAAATAGAGTATCGATTTTGGCCATTTTGGTCATTAAGAGGGTATTGTTTTTGCAATCTAGATTTCAATTGAGTATGTTTTTAGAGGAAGCTGCTTTTTCATCATTATGGATAAGACCATCGACAAAGGCCCTTCATAACTTATGTTTAGGGCAACTGTGTCAACCGCAACGGTCATAAACAGGGTATCAAAATTTTGATCAGGTCATAAATAGGGTAGGGAAAACCGCAGATTTTGGTCATGAAGGTTG